CGAGCGAGCCCGCAGGTCCTAACCCCAGATCAGCCCGTTTGCACGGACTTCATCCGGTTCTCTGTAAGGCTAGTACAACACCATCCATGTTTTCCAGATAGGTACCGGAGCTGTAAGCACGCTCACTTCCTGTCGCGCTGTTGAGGAAATCAGGGAAAGGACGGTCACAGTCACCTAAAAACATGTTTTGAGTTATCAAGTACCGCCATCATATTCGCTAAACGCGAGAGCGTATTTTGCCTAAATCAGGAACAGGATAACAAGGTTCATCATCTTAATTGGTATAGGCCTCCCAAGTTTTTGTGCCACTCCTCACTATTCCATGTTAATCTAATAAGGTACAGTATCCTGAAAAATTAACTTTGAGTTTTAGGGATAAATTCTTTAAGATTTTTTTAACTAAAATGGATTGCCTAATAGAGTTACACACTATGGCTACATTGACTTCATGTCAGGTAGCATTTTTGTATATATTTTCACCAGTATTGAACAGTTTTTAAAATTAAAAATTCTTTTCTTATAATATCAAGTTGACAGGACGAATTAGTCGTGCGCCTGTTGGTAAGCTACACGTCTGTCCATGACAGATGCGGCGCCACTTAAAGCTTTAAGTCGCAAAGATCTGAGGGGGTCTGCCACTGCGCCCGACGCCCTGAGACATAAGTTGACAAGTCCTATGTGCCTGTAATTTCACCAGCACCCTTATCCTTCAAAACCGGAACACATGCTGACATTACTGCTTGGCAGCAGAAATAGGTCTCTTTCATAAGGAGGTCTCCAGCTACTCCTCAAGTGACTTTGATAATTATTTCCCTCGACAAGGTTGACTTTTAAAATAAAAATTATGTTATGTAAATAATCAGAGAATTAACTTTGCTTGGATGCGCTACAGAGAATCGCGAAAAGCTCGTACACGCAAACTTCAGCTAGTGATCCAGTTCTGTTGGTTTTCGCGGGTCTCTGACGAAAATCCTTGAACAGAAACTTTCAGTACGCCTGTGACGGTGTGACCTCCTTACACCGCCTCTCCCCTCTTGTATCTTATCATTTTTTTTATTTTACTTGTATTTAAATTTTGAATTTGAATTGTTCCATCTTCCTTCACCTTCATTTTGTTTTCGTACCACGGTCACTCCCAGCTCGACCGCCACAACAGTCGGAGCTGTTATTAAGCTAATCATGTGTAATAATTTATAAGTCTACACCCTTCATGTATCTATTTCTGTAATTCAATTTCTCGGCCCATTTAGGGGTAAGTGCCTTAATAATAAAGTGTAGGGAGTGTTTTGTACTGTTATACCTGTTTTTTTACATTTACCTTTATATTGTTACAGCCTTTCTTTAAACTTTACTTCTTTAATTAATTTTGTGGACCGGTGGTTTCCCATTTCTTTGCTGTGAACCTGTTCACGGCTAGTTAGGGTTACAACCCTTTCAAGTCTTATTTAAGTCTATACAACCTCAAGTGACTTTGGTTGAGTCTGCATAACAGTGAAAGTGTTGAGTTGATAGAAAAAACCTACCTCGGAATATTACAAGAAAACCGCTGTATTAATTACGTACTTTACATATGTACCAATGATTTTTTTAATCAACTGAACTAAATAGAA